TATATATATATATGTAATTATGTATGTATGCAATTAAGTAGGTATGTAATTATGTATGTATGTATGTATGCATGCATGTATGTATGTATGCATATATGCATGTACGTATATATGTATGTATCTTATTGTCCACATCTACAGGACAAACACAACTTAGCAGCCATACACACCCCTTCATACCTACGCAAGTTCGCCTCTACATGAACATATTATGCAGCTGCACACAAAGACGCAACCATGCACGCATATCTACATAACCTCGCACGCGCAGCGAGGTATGATCCGGACGTTTCAAGCTCATGCAGAATACCCATAGGCCCCATAGTAGTTCCTTGTTGTGGCTTATATTTGGGATCCTATTAGGTAATCCCAAAAAGGAACTACTATGGGGCCTATGAGTACAGTCTGGCATGTATCTTCGTGCAAGGTGCCATACAACGGACAGATAGCAGCACAACTCGAACGAAGCCGTGATGGTATCGCAAGTCATTAAAACAGAAACAGAACTGACTACGCAATACGTGCACTCAGTATCTAGTAGAATCTAGTCGTTTTGTGGGCAAAGACAACATGTCGACATCGCTGACATTTGATTCAAGAAGTTTCGAGTTGCTCAGCCAATTTCAAGACAACTAATGGAATGGGTTCTGGTGGTCTCGAAACAAACACCATGTCCCTGCAGCCAAGCGACACCAGCATAGAGGATGACTGCGCAACGAAAACTGGGAGCGCCTGGATCTGTCGTCGTTTCAGCTCGTGATCTGTCTGGTGCGCGCAGGCACGATCCACCCAAAGTGACGTTGGCCAGAAGAGGTGGATGGCGTGCTGCCCGAGAAAAAACAAGAGAAAAAACACCCCCATGGGCAAGTAGACCAAGACAGGCAGTAACCTTAGGGTCTCTGGGTTTGGAACCACTTTTAGCGACACGGGGTCAAACAGGTAGCAATTATAATCCCAAAGTGTCCATGTACCTATCTAAGATATACATTGACTTTGACCCGTATAGCATGTATCCCCATCAACCCCTTCGACTCTCCCCATACTGTACATTCGTACAAGATTCCTGAGGGAACTCTTAAAGGCTTAAAGGCGGATGGGCTCTCAGGGTAATGCCGAGAAGCAAGCGATTGTCCCCGAGGTTTCCAGCGCTTCCGGCGCTTAAAATCATGACGGCAGTGGCCAGCACTCATGTAATTCTTGGTTTGAGGCTTTTTGGGGGGTTCGGGTCTGTTCAGGTCTAGTTTAGGGTTTAGGGCCACGGAACTTACTTCAAAATTCCCCGTGCCATAACAAGGATAGTGATGTTTTGGCCAACTAAATATCGACCCTTGGATGGTGAAGAAAAGTTCCTTCACCAGAACCTAGGATCATGGAGCACACGACGGCAGCCGACAGGTTGAGATAGAGGCACAGGTTCAAGTACTTCGCCCAGCGCGCAGCGCCCCAGCGATGACTCACAAAGACCTGCGGATGCACAATGGTAGCAGCACTGAGCACAGCAGACGTCAAGCTCTCATTACTCATCATCCATGAACCCAACTGGCCAGGAGACCCGACCACAGTACATCACACATACTGCCTGTCACCACAAAAACAATGCACACACAGAGGCCGTCCACATGGACAGCTGAGAGATCTACATAATTCTGGGAGTTCTAGAAGCCACCTACAGGCACAAGCTCATCACTACCCCCGAAGAAGCCTAAACCCGTGCTAGGACCTCCGTGGTGCTGATAATCATAACTTGCAGCTCTTTTGGTTGACTCCCGTGGTATTTTAAGGGTCCGGTAGAAGGTGACTGGATGTGCACAACCTTGATTCCCACAACGTTGCACCCCCAGAAAGTACTACAAACGGCTGCCAGGAGATCCATGTCAAGAACCAGGGAGGGTGGCTTTTCATGCGAAATCCTACGACAACAAGATCCAGTGGGTGCTACGTAGACCTTAGAAAAAACGTATGAGTTGAGTTCTTTTCCCAAACATTCCCTCCTAAAGATGTCGCGACTGCAGGAACTGCAGAAAGAAGGGGCCGCAGGATTGCAGGACTGCAGGCACTGCGAAGGGAAACAGTTAGGGCCGGAGGTTGCAAGAGCCACGGGAACATAGAGCACAGCGACGTCAGGGAACTGCAGGCTACAGCAGCCGCAGGAATATCAGCTATGGTCACCGATAGCATTTTAGAGTAATCTGGGGTGTGGGGGGAAGGAAGAGGAGATGAGACGGAAGCAGGAGTTCGTTGGAGCGAACTAAAAGTTGCCAAACTTCCAGCGTGCTTTCCTGTTTGTCAGCCTACTCCACCTTACGTTTACTGCTCGAGGTGGGGAGACAGATGGGACACAACATAAAACGTCAAAAACAGATATGTACAGCATGGAAGCCCAGAGACATGCAGACAAGACGAGCACGAGACAAACAACAAGTGCATTGGCAGTAAAAATTAAGAACAGGAACATTCAGGAAGGCTAAACTGAAGATTCTTTCTTCGTGATTCATAGGTATGGTTTTCAAGCCCCCGCATTACAGCTTGCCCCACTCAGATACGATGCCTGCGCCATAGGTAGCCCGATAATCCGGTAACAAAACTTCCATTACACCTGGAAATCCTCATGTACGTCACCCTATACCAAACTGGAAAACCCCAAACCCCTAACCACCTCAACCCAACCCGTAAATTTCACAAAACGCAGTAGAGGCACATCCACCCGCTCAGTGCACGAGGTGGACTCGAAAATTCGCGACCCGGCCTCTTGCACCTTTCCGACAAAGGGGCGTGCAGGGCTTTTGGGGTTTAGGAGTTCAGGCCCTAAACCCTAAAACCCTAAACCCTAAGGCTTAGGGTATTGCGCTTTAGTGTTTAAGGCCTCACAGGTTAGGATTTGGGGCTTGCGGTAACTTAAAGTATAAGTTTTAGGGTTCAAGGTATAAGGCATAGCTTTTAAATAGGGCTTATCAAATTTATGCCAGTCGGTGGTCTTTGCTTGGAGTTTCTGGTTTAAGAGACTGACTGTATGCCGGGATCCTTGTTACTATATATATATATATAATATTAATATAATATATATATATAGTTTCAGATAAAGAGACCACAAGCCTGTCTAATTCATCATTCCCTACCATGTGGAGTCTTCTCGGAACATGTGAAAACTTTGAGTGTTGGCTTGGAATCTATTTGGGTGGTCCTGACTAGACCCGAGACCCTAGACCCTAAACTCAAAACCCTAAAGACTAAAGTTTAAAGCCTAATTCCTATAAACCCAAGAATCAATACTGGTGCCTGTCAACCAACGACTTCACCGGTAGAGCCTGAATGTTCAACCTCCCAACTCGGAAAAGCCTACGGCTTCAGAGCTCTAGAGTTTTGGGGTTTCAGGGCTTTCAGGCTTTAGGGCTTTCAGGTTTTTGGTGGTTTGGGTCTCAGGGCTTTTGGGTTTTAGAGCTTTAGGACTTAGGTTTAGGGTTCAGGGCTTTGGGGTTTGGGTTAGTGTTTATTCAGGGGTCCTGGACCTTCACTCCAGCACCGGGCTGGGAAAGCAAGGTCTCTCTGATGTTGGACGCGCATTCGGACATGTCAAGCTTGCATGTGGGTGGTTCTCAAAATTAGCGTCCCTTTTTGGGTCCCCAATATAGGACGGCACCCTTATAAAAAGGACCTAAAAGGGACCAGAATTTAGAGAACTACCCATGTCCATGCCTGGAGCAACATTCAGCAACTAGCAGAAACACACAAAACAACAGCGGACAATTCACAACACTCCGAGAAGAAACTGCGGAAAGTCAAATAACAGCAAACAGCGATGACGCAGATCACACAGAAAGCAACACAACCGAACTTCGTCAAACTCAGAAATAAAGAGCCAGAAAAGCACATACAACAACAATAAAGTAAACTCCCAAAGCATCCCAAACGTGAAGGCACCTTCCACAACATGTCAGTTTCCTGGAACATGAGAACCGACAATTGAAGACAAATCGCAAAAACAGAACAAATCCAACACCTTTCACTAAATGCCAAGAACATCCCAAAACTCCCCTACGCAAAAAATAAAAACATAAACCCGAACGAATCCGAATATTCTGGCGAAAACCCAAAACCCTCCAGAGCTGTTGAACAAATCCAACACAGTCTCAACAAACAAGTCTTCACAAACTTCTATGTGGCCCGGGGGGGGCAGGTCTTTCAACAAGTTGCCACAAACTTCTGGGAATCTCGTGTGTGATGGTCAGTCAGAAGTGCATGGAGCTACAACATATCTTGTTTCTCCCGTGAAGGTCGGCCCGACTTCAACGAAAACCTGAAACCCTAATGTAGGGCCCCTAATAATTAGAATAGGGTTTCGGGGCCCCTTATACTACAGTTATAGTAAGGAACCCCCCTCCCCCCCAAAAAAATATAATATACATAGTATTGGTAATTATTGATAGTAAGGAACCCCCCCCCCAGAAAAAAAAGGTATAGATAGTATTGGTAATTATTAAGGCCCCTCTGCATTAAACCCAAAACGTTGTTTGGGCTTCTGCTCGAAGGCTTCAAGGCTTCGGGTTTCGGGAAGGTCCTTCGCCCAAACGGATTTAGGGTTTAGGGTTTATATAGGGGGTTTAGGGCTTAGGGCTTATAGGGTTTAGGGTTTAGGGTTTATATAGGGGGTTTCGCGGAATGAAAACGAATGAAACGGAATGGCAACAGGAATGACACGGAATGACATCATGATGAGCTGACCGTCCAACAATCACACATCCAGGAAAGGACGCTATCGGTTACGCCACTTAAGTAAGTTTAGGGCTTATGGGGCGTGCCAGGTTTCGGGCTTAGCATGTTGACTGTTTAACGGCGTACAATTACAGGTTCAGGGTTCATGGGCAGCGTGTCTGAGTTGTCATTGTAACGCTTATTAGGGCTTAGGGCTCCATAAGGTTTTGCAAAGCCGTAACTTTCTTACTGGAGTTACACTTACCCGTCCTTCTGTTCTTTGACGACGTGCGGTGTAGAGAAATTCTCATGTTGAGGATGAGCTGTTCTCAGGCCACAGGGTTCAGAGCGAGGGGCTGGCAGGGTTTAGGGGTTAGGATGTAGGATTTACCCACATGCCCCATAGTAAGTAGTTCCTTTTCGGGATTACCTTATAGGATTCTAAATATGAACCCCCAAAAAGGAACTATGGGTAGGGTTGGGAAAGACAAAGAGACCCAAGTGCCAAACTCGCAACGATAGCCAGTTCACGCCACTTCCCGTCCCGTGCCTCGGAACACGCTGTACAACTATGGCTCGTGTATAGGCTTCTACACAGCACCCCACGTGCCCCACACAAGATGGTACATAGAGAAACAATGAGATCCTCAACCGACATGATCGAAGCACAAACGCTCCATGTTTAACTCTATCCGGTGGTGCCTCCTGCATGGTCGGTATCTTGTCCGGACGGAACCCACCCGCGGCCAAGAGACCTGCAAGCTCAGTCTTTTGCGTGATTGTTGGTGACATGAGACGGGTACTCCAACCCAACGAAGCCCGTGTATCCATACCGTGCGCCTCGCGAATGGTTTCTAGAGCTGGAAGGACGGCGTATCGAAAACGCCGTTCTAGAACTCTGCATTCCGGATCCTCGTAATGAATGGCACTATCGTATCGCAGGCAACAACCGCTGCTAGGTGCATACTGACTATATGATAAAGCCGAAGAAACAAGACAACTGCTCTGTGAAGTGACAACTACAATAGAAGTCCTCTTCTAATTGCTAAGGCCCATCTGAAACTCTTGTCGTGACCCTCAGAACGCATTCAAGAAGCCATCGAAGGACCATAACCCAATCTCAGCGCCGCTAAAGAAAGGCCTACCCGACCACACAATAGGCTTCTCCCTAACCCCTAAACCCCTAAACCCCTAAACCCCTGAACCCCTGAACCCTAGATCCCTAAAGCCTTAAATCCCTAAATCTCTTGTCGGATCTATAATGTATTCAGGCAGCGAACCTACCTTTCTAGGGCTCCTTATTATTACTATTACTATTCTTCTTCTGATTACTATGATTTCTTGACCGATTTCTTTTACATAAGTCCTCAAAGAAGTAGGGTATTTGGGGTTTAGGTAATCCATGATGATTTCTGTAATTCAGCCCGTCGCGGCCAGGCTAGCTTTCCTGTTGTGTATGACCCTTTGGTCCAACCTATACTTGGAGGTTCATGGGTAGTTATAAGTGGGGTTATAGGACTATACTTATAACCCACATTAGGGGACTTATAACCCTACTTAGAACCTAAACCGTAAACCCTACACCCTAAACCCTAAACCCTACAACTACCAATGAACCTCCAAGTACCGATAACAGGAAGATGTGTGCACCTGGCAAACCCTGTACGAAGAGAACTCCGCGATTGGCCAGAATCCTCGTTGCAGCATCAGATGTGCCGTCTGTGGGTGTTGACAAACAGGATCTTTTGGGCTTTAGGCTCTAGGATTCAGGGCTTTCGGGCATAGGGCTTTGGGTTTAGGGGTTTATATAGCTTTGGGGGTGTAGAGTTGAGGGTAGTTTACAACATGAAGGGGTGCTGAGCCCGTAATTTAAGCTTGAAGGGTCGAACTTATGGCTGAAAAGGGGGTGTGAAATATGGGCCTTATAGTTAGAACAGGGGTTTCGGCTTCTTTTGGTCGCGCAAGGACTATACCCAAACCCCCCAAAAGTAGGTAAAATAATGGCCCGACACCTGTAATTTGCCATTACTCTACATACTTTTGGGATCCAGGTATGGACTATATCAAGAAGACAAGGGTTGAAATGTCTTCGGTTCGCACATGTCCGGTGCTCAGACACTTTGGGCTTAGAAAGCTCATAAAACCCTGAGGCAACCCTCGTCGAGCCCGAAAACTCTAAACCCTAAACCCTAAACCTGAGCTTGGGGGCGATTTGACGGAGTAGACTTACCGCATGGGTGTGTTAAGGCATTGGGCGGCACAACTTCGGCTTCGCAAACAAGTTCTGCGCAGCTACACACACCTGTGATATTTGGGAAACTTGTGGGAATCGTACCAAACCAACCCTCAGGATCGTGCAGAAAAGCTCCTGAAGGGCGGGGAAAGGCTGCGACTCGTTCGGGGGTGTAGGGCTTATCCCCTTCTAGTTTGCTTTCGACTTCGATGGAAATATTCGACCCTGTCACTTCGAGACTTCTCATACTTAACACTCGGCGGCACTGGGTCGCACGACACGAGGTCCAACCACTCAATACTAACCATCATCTGTATCAGCCCCAGCTTCAGCTTGCTTCGAGCTAACACTCCGAATCCGTGACAAACCCTAAACCCCTGAACCCTAAACCCTAAACCCTAAAACCCTAAACCCCTAAACCCTAAACCCCTAAACCCTACACCCTGAACCCTAAACCCCTGAACCCCTCAACCCCCAGTCCCGTAAACCACTAGGCTGCCCCAAAACCCCGACAACCCTAAACCCTATAACACCCCTAAACCCCTACAGTAAAGCCCTCACAACCCTACCCTAAGGCTCCTGCACCCTTGTAGTGAGATCCCAAACCCTAGCCCCCGAAGCCGAAACCCTCCCCCAGAAAGCCCAAGACCCTCCTAGGAGCCTTAAGGTACACCCTCAGCCCAAGGATTGCCATCTACATCGTGCTTCCGGCCTATATCTCAAAGACCTCGCAACCGCGTGACGAGGCGCCAACAACAAAGTGCCAGACCCCAAGCCCGTACTCCTTTTCGGGTTTTAGGGGTTAGGGATTCAGGGGTTTAGGAGTTTAGGGGTTTAGGGAGTCTAGGGATTTAGGGTTTTCGTTGATTACCTCAAGCCCGGTGTTTGAAGCTTTATCAAACCATTCTAAAGACCTCACACCCTAGACCCAAAACCCTCCCTAAAGGTCATTAAACCCTTTCTACGCCCTCGAACCTTAAACCCTCTAACCCATGTAAACCTTTCTAAAGCCAGCTGATTAAAGTCCAGGCGCTTGGGCGCAGTCGTTGCGCGAAACAGCCCCTCCGCTTTCACATCCTAGGTTTCCCCAGTAGCCCCTTAATCAAGGTACCCCTTTTCCAACTGTTTGGGGCTAATAAGGGATCCCCTAAACCCTAAACCCTAAATCCTGACCCTGAACCCTAAATCCAAAACCCTAAACCACATAGAAAACGGCCAAAAGGGTACTGCTCAGGAACCTAGCATCCTCAAAGGACTCTGGTCTCCGAAGTCGGCGGTCCATGGTCCGCTTTTTTAGAGCAGGGGCTTAGGTTTTAAGGTTTAGGGTTCTAGGGTTTAAGGTTCAGGGTTTTAGGGTTTAGGGCCGTTTAGGGTTTAGGGCTTTAGGGCTTAGGGTCTATAGGGTTTATGTGTAAGGGCTGAAGAGTTGGAACGTCGCTTTCATGTTTGAGCTGTTGGCCCTTCTCGATTTTTGCATTAGGGTTCAGGGTTTACAGGTTTGGGGTGAAAGATTTGGGGTTGCAGTTTATTCTCGTGAGGCCTCGAAACCCTAAACCCAAAGTCCTGTGAAGTGAAATGGAGGCAGTGGGCACCCCTAAGGCAGCTCCAGGCGAAGGGCCTTAGGATTTCGGATATATCAGGGTTCAGAAAGTTGGGCACTGGGGTTTCGGATGCTAGTTGGGCTACTATGGGCTTGAGGCTTCGGATACTGAGGTTGGCTACTAGGGATCAGGATCCTAGGGCTTAGGGCATTTGGGCTAAACACCTGAAGTAGATGTTGCCAATCGTTCGGACATGCTGTTCCGATGCGGGGTCGGCATCTGGCTTGAACCACATGTGCCTCCAAAAACCCGATTTGGATCTCGCAGCCCCAAATTCCCATGTTCTTTTTCTCGGCCCTGAACCGTTAAGCCCAGCGTGGCTGTCGCAGGAATCAGCCCGGACAGATCTTCCCCTAAGGGTCCAAAGGACCCAATAATAAGATACTTTGGTTGCGGATAGTAGTTTCCTAGCTCAATATTTGGGAGAGTATATGGGTGGTTGGCAAAATTATGGTCCCTTTTTGGGTCC